GAGTCTAACCGATCATTGTTTACAACTCCAGGTCCCTCCCATGTTACAAATTAAGATTTCTGGCTTTTTTGTATCTTATTTTATAACTATTTAACCAGTTAGAGAACAAACTGTCACATCAGTGTTAACCCTCAGCCAGATTTCTGTTTTTTCCTCAAGCTAATATTTTAAATCCAACATCCTCACTGTAACCCAGTCCAGAATCTTCCAAAGATGAATGCATGGACACATACTCCTTTTTTTTCTGGTCATTCGCTCCATTTCTTGTTTTATTCTTCTACTAATCACATCATTCAGTCAATTTAGGGAGGAAAAAGATGCACCTTTTTATTATGGTAAGCCAGACAATTGCGCCTTAGGCTTTATACATTTTCAGTCATGGACATTAGCAGATTGGTCTGAACTAGTGTACAGTGATAGTATAGCTTAGCGTAGTGTAGCAGCAGTAGATTTTGGCCCCGCTGAGCCCAGCTTTGAATGGAAGGTTACTGTTTACACTGGATGAGTTACTCTTACATACATAAATAATGGATTCAGTTTAATATGAGCAATCACAGGACTTGAACCAAAGAGTGTCAGAAGTAATGTGCCTTCCTGACCTGTGGGTTTCTATGTACAATTGTGTAAAAGAGCTCTTTTACACTCAACGACACACTTTGATGTAAGATCTTTATCTGTCCGTATAAAAGTCAGATGAATACTTGTCTGTTACTTATATCCACATGTGCTCAGCACTGGTCCAGTCCACTTCAGCATGTGTTTGTCATTATGCTCTTTAACTAACCCAGTTGTTTTACCTGCTGCTAGTGTGATCCAGTTTTAGGCACTGCTGTTCTTAAAGCCGTAATATGGATTAGAATAGGGAAATTAATAAAGGTTAAAGATAAGGCACCGTATGTGAACAGGGAGGAGAAAGACACATTTCACAGTAGCATACTCGTGGTTTGTCTCACACATGCTCTCTCAACACCGCTGCTGGGAAACAACGCTTTTTGTGTGTTTTTAATGTGGCACACCACGTGATCTGCATGTTCATTAGGTTGTCTCAATACAGAAAGCCTCTGATTCAGAATAACATCAACATGACATGTGATGCGTTCGTGGTGGTTCACCTTCGAGTATGGAACTTTTTTTTCCATCGAAATCAAAAGGTTTAAAAAGGGAAGTTTCTAAAGTTGTGCCGGACAGAAGGGCTGGAGATGATGTTGTGGTTCGTCACGTCCTGAAAACACGATGACCAAAAACAGAAAAGAACAGATGTTGCTTTGTTTTCTGCTCAGTGTTTGTATCTCACCCCCGTCAGCCGCCACTCACCCCCTCCCTTTGTCCTTCCAGCTCGCTTTGTGCATAGTCTATCTTTCAGAGCAAAAAAAAAAGAATCTTGTCCTGAATAAAAAAAAAGGCTTTAAAAGTGTTTGTAAGACAGTATTTTGATACACAATAAAGTTGTCTAAGTATTTTTCTGTCAAACAAATGGCTCTGTGTTTTATGTCTTAAAACTTTGAGTATAAAACTTTGTCTGGATAACTATGAATGCATGGGAAAAAATTAAGATCACAACATATACAGAACGGGTGAAGCATAACTTCAATCACTGATATTTAACAGAATGTGCCTGTGTTCCATGCTTAGCGCTGTGTTTATAATTAGCCTTAAAAACGGACATTGCTGAACTCTTTCAGTGTTTTTATTTAAATGTGATGGTTATGGTTTTCATCAGTAGCTTTGATGAAGCACAGAGTAAGCATGGCAGCAATGTTAAGTGTTTTTCCACAGAAGTTTCTAGTGAGTGGAAAATGTGTAGATTACAATTCACTACACCACTGAAGTCTGCAGCCAACGCCCTTCCTGGAAAACTCCAACTCCTTATAAGGCCTGACTCACTCACTACCTCCAGAGGCCGCTGCAGGAGAGGGAATCTTATTGGAAGACTTCATAGCATGGTTTATGCAGAGCTTTGAACAGCACCTTGTGCCAAGTCTGAATGCCTCGGGAAGAAACTACATGTAGTAATTTTTGAGATTTCAAGTTAATGGTCAGTGAATGGGGATCTTTATTATTATCCATTTTAGTTGTTAAAGTTGTAGGCTAGTGATATTTTTCCAGCTTTGTGTAGTTTGTATACCATCAAGGATAAACAAATATGCATAAATATTAAGTCAAACATGTTCCACGTCATTCCCAAAATGCTTCACATAAAATATTAATGAAATAAATTGTTTTTAAGACGATATAACAAAGTCCACAAGATTCAAAAATGTGATTTATATATATTTTTAGAAAGTGATAGGTTGGATATATTAAATATATAATTTTGAAACATACTTTTCTAACATAGGTGATAACAAAATATTTGTTATTAAAGAGCCTTATTCATTCTCAACTGGCATTTTCAAAGTGAGTATTCCAGGAGAGCCTACCATGAGGATTGGTGGGGTAATGGAACATAAGTCTGATGAGAGAGGATAGGTCATTTGGGGCAAAAGGCAAAAACCCACCTAATAGCAGCAGGGAAAAAGTGTGGATTTAGTTGTACTGAATACCTTAGAAATTAATATAGGTCTGGATTAATGCAAACAGTCCTCACTTGCTGCACTTATTTATCATTATTCTACAATTTAAGGGCAGTGGCTGATAGAATTGTTTTAATAAAGCGCAAGTGGCATCTGGCTCAAGAGGCCACAATGTCAAGTGCCCCGGGAAAACAACAATATGCATGCCAAAAGCTGGCAGTGAATGATGCCACAAATCTGTTGCCAGATTGGAGCTGATACCTGTGGGTTCACAGCAATTTTATTTGCCAATTTGCAAAGTAACCTATTATTGTCATCATTTGCTTGTAGTTGGGAGAAGTTAGGGACTGTTCTTTACTTGTCAGAGGAGGAGGGGGCTGGTTGGGATGTAACTGTATCCTACACATAGTTTTCCTTGAGCCATCCTGAGTAACTGGCAGAAAATGCATGACCCTCCCTCCACCATAAATTAGTTATTAGATGTTTTAAAACTTACTCTTTGATACTTGAAAGTTAAAAGTTGAATAGGAAATCCTGGAGTTCAAAAAGCCTTGTTTTTTTTTTTTTTCATTCTTGTGCATGCTAGTAAGTTAGTGCAAACAGTTTAGATTAAGTGATTGGGATGGCATATCCCTATTTTAAGCTCAGATTTGTTTGTTTGATTGTTTCTGATGGGAGCATTCCTTGCACATGACGACAAAAATTTGAAAATCCAATGGTAATTTTTGTTTTTACAGTTTCTGGCTATGACAAGTTGTGTTCTTTTGGTGTTTTTTTTTAAAGAAACATGCCTTCCGGACCAGCCCGGAGGTTTGGAGGGCATGTTTTCTTTAAAAATCTGCAGTAAAATAAATACAAAACACAAACATTTAAATTTGTATGCCTCTCCCCTAAGCCTAAATGAAAAACATAAGTCCCTCCCCAGTGCTTAGAAAAATCATTTGGCATGCCTCCCTCTTTTTGCACCAACTCCTCATAAATAACAAACAGTCCCTTAGTAGTTCTAGTTAAGAAGATAGTCACTGTAGCCACCATAAACAGTGTGGATCCTCTAACTTTACACCATTGGGGATATTGTTATAAATTATACTGCTGGTAAAAAATAATCAAATTTAAAATGGCTGACCCACAACATCACTGAACAGGAGGATCACTGAACATGAAAGCAGCAGGACAACACACTAAAATTGCGCTTGCTCAGTGGAGCAAACAGCCACCCACATTAGCAGTGCATACAAACAGGGAATCGAGCAGTATGACAGCAAACTGAGGAAAACAGGTGCACAGCTGGATTACCACCCATGTTATACTGTGTGGGAAAATATAATGTAATGTTCTGGTTTGACATCTGTACAAAGTAGTTGTTGTCCCACCATTTGTTTCCACCTTAAGACGGTCTGATGAAGGGCTGGACACAGGCTGTCGGAGGGGCAGGGCCAAAATAGACCACCGATGGTTGGGTTTAATCTCTAATGTATTTGTCATTCAATTTTTTATCCTTTATATCACTACCATTTAACATAATATCTGTCTTAAACAGTGACTTTACAGATAAAATGCTGTCCTACAAGCATTTCTCACTTGTCACAGTAGGAAAGCATGCTATGACTAATCACATTAACGACATGCTTAGGTGACCTAATAAAGTCATAACAGCATGACAAAAATCCAGCAGTTACTGTTGCTGCTAAGGGACTGTTCGTTAGTTATGAGAGGGGAAGGGCTGGTGCAGAAAAGGGGCATTTCAAATAATGTTTTTAAGCACTGGAGATGGACTTATGTTTTTTTATCTTGGCTTCAGGGAGGGGCACACAAATTTAATTTTATGTGTTATGTATTTATTTTATCACTGATTTTGAAAGAAAACATCCCTCACAAAGGTGCACACTGGAAAGGTGTGTTTTCTTAAAAAATTGCCAAAGTACGCCATTTATCATAGCCAGAAACTGTAAAAACCGAAATTGTTTTCAAAATTAAAAAGCAAAAAAAAAAAAAAAAAAATCAAATTTCTATCAGTCTCTCAACACATTATGTAGGACAAAGGCTTCTGTTTTTAAAATATTATAGGTAATTTGTGCCAGTCACTCAGGGAGGTTCATGGGAAGATATTTGTATATGTGGAGGGTCCAAAAAACATAGACAAAAATAAAACAAAAACAGCAACAACCTCTGATAAGTAACGAACGGTCCCTAAATGTAATACAGCCACCATTCATTTTATTAGGCTACATGTGCTTGGTTTTCCTACTGTGACATGTTCAAATGTCTTCTGTGAAAAACAACTATTGTCTTAAAAAACGTGGAGGTAGCCATTAGCCTACATTACACACTTTGCTATATTGTGTAGATAGTAGAATACCACATTTCCCTCACAATTCAGTGTATGTAAACAATTAACTTCTTTATTAGGCAATAGCTGTACCAGCAGAACATTATTGAGCCCGCCTTGATACCTCGTAGGTGTGCCAAGTTAACGTACGTCGTCGGGATGTTTGCCTTTGCCAGAAGTTACACCCACTTCACTGCTCCAGCCTGCTCACTCTCGTTCTGATCTTTGCCACATTTTCAACCCTTAACTTGTTTGTCTTTGTCTAAGGTAAGTGAAATAATTTCATTTTAACTTCCAACCAGGAAATCTGTCGTTCACTTTTTTTAATCGCTTGCGTTTGTTGCTCGCGCGAGAATAAAAACCCGCGAAGTTTCATTTCGTGACTGTGTTGCTTTACTCACGTTAGGCATTATGGATATAAAGCAATAGCCATGTTGTAAGATGTAACAAAGCGTTTGGCGTCGAATTATTGGCTTTGATTTTCAAATTTAGCTTTTACTTTCAACCGACCACTTCAGTTTGACTTCAAAGTTGTTTTCTTTCTTTCACTTTTTCCTGCCGGATTGCAGTCTGGCGGGCAGCGTACTGTATGAGTCTCCTCCCTTTTCTCCCTCCCTATTTATCTATCTATCTATCTATCTATCTATCTATCTATCTATCTATCTAACTAACTAAGTAACTAACTATCTATCTATCAACAGATGGCTTTGAGTGAGAAAAGTGACGGGGAGATCAGCAAGTTGCTTGCTGAGTATGGCATCAAACATGGACCCATAGTAGGTAAGACGACTGCACTAATATGTCCAGTCTATGAAGTGCACACATTAACTGCTTTATTATGTCATTGCTGGTTCATAACTGCCACTTCCTGTTTGAATAGTTGTGGATGTAAGAATGAAAAGTGTAATCATAAAAATAAGATAAGTGTAGCCTGTTAAGAAAGTGAAAATATATATAACATAAAAATGGTCTCCTACATTGTACAGCCATGTAGTCCATCATGTTTTAAAGCAATATTACTGCATTTTTGACGGTATGTTCACTTGCTCTGGATCTTTTAATTTGTTTTGTCTTGTAGGCTACTTGGGCATCCCTTTCGGTCCATTGTCTTTTTTTCTCAATATTCTCATTAATCATCTGTTTTATTACCTTAATAATGCGTTAAAACTTCAATTAAAAGCCTAGTGCCAATTCACATTTTGACAAGTGAACGCCTGTTTGAGTTAGACGCCTGGTCTGGTCACCAAGCAGTTCATTTTTTTTAATAAAAGTTCTTCAGATTTATAAAAGCAGATTGTTGGCTCCCTCAAATTATGTGTCCGTTCCTTGATTACCCTGTAAGTTATACTTATTCCTTAAGTCCGTTAGGGTCCTCAGATCAAAAGAATCAAGAGGGGTTTTCATAAAAATTAATCCAAATTGTGAGTATTGTTTTAACAGGATTAAGTGATGTGTCGATATGCCAGGTGCAGTAATCCTCAACTGCCGCAGTTTACCTTCTCTCTGATGAGCTGTCTGTCGGAGCTAGATCAAATGAATGATTCATAACTTATATACTATCGGAAGCCTAATTCTTAAATAAATAAGATTGGTACTGGTTTAAATAAACAATTTGATTGTATTTCTGTATCTTTTCTGAACAACAGTTTTGTGTGAAAGAGATTAAAGGTCTGTCCTATATAGAGGACACCTGTCCCAAATATAGGCCTGTTGATTTCAGTGATTTAAGCAAATAAAAGTCTGAGCTATTAATTGAAGTTTTAAGCTATTTGATAAGTATTACAATAGAATGAATGAAATCAAGGCTTTTTAAATGATTAAAGGTGTTTTTTTTGTGAACTGTGATAAAGATATTGAAGCACTGTTAATGTGTTTATGTGAATATAGACTCTACTCGAAAGCTGTATGAGAAGAAGCTTGAAGAAGCCATGGAGAATGCTCAGAAGCAGCCCTCGTCTGATAAGACATACTACAGAGAGGAAGGTAGGATGTTCTTCAGTCTGCTGGTCTGCAGAGGCTGTGTGTCACTGTTAATTTGTGGGTCTTTTAATGTTGTTGTAGCACCCTCACCCCATATAAAGGGTTGATGTTGCCTGGGACCAGGACTGTTGAGAAAGTGGGTCGATAGGCAGGAGTAAGTGCAAAAAAAAAAAAAAAAGTTGCATTTATTTACAAAAAAATCTATGGAAATGGAGGCAAAGGTGGAATGTGGTAAATTAAACAAAATTAGATTAAGCAGAAGCAAAAATAACAGAACACTTCTGCATGCTGCAGCCACAAAGCAAGCTGTCACCTCCTTCCTCCCCCCTACTGTAGTGAATGGCATTTTTTCTTCTCAGCCTCACCTAACGATACTCTAGTCACAACACAATAGTAATGCGATTTTAAACGTGTTGCAATACAGTGAGTACTGTAATAAAATATATTGCAATACATTGCAATTTGTTCCCTGTTTTCAACTGCAAATAATATCCCCAAAGGAAAACTTTGTCAACATCTGTTTTATCTAATAAGACATTTTTTAGTCATTTTTTTGCATCAAAAGTTTGTAGTGGACTGAAAAAGCAACTGATTATATTATTCAAGAGGCTACTGAAAGTTCAATTTGTATTTAGAATATGAATAACTTATAAAAAAATGCTGCATGGCACTGCCAATATTGGCACACAAAAATATTGATACTATGCTGTATCGAATTTTTTCCCCACCCCTAGTAAGCATAGGTGTAGGTTTTGGGTAAGATGCAGGGGGCACATGATAAGCTTATCAAGAGAAATTGATAATCCAAAGGGAGAATTCTAGTCTGTTAAGCACCACAAAATATAAAAAAAGAATAATCTGAGATTTCGAGAATAAAGTCATAATAGACTATGTTTCTTCAAGCCATATGTGTATGTTTTAGCATTTCCTCTGACCTGTAACTCCGTGTCACTGTCTCTGCATCCCCCTTTGCTTACAGACACCTTTGCCCTTATTGGGACTGTCTCCCTACTCCAGGATGCTTTCCACTGAAAAACTTGTGAGCTGTATTTTATTGGAGATGGAGAAATTTAACATTTGTGTGGACAATAAGCCACACAGTGGTCAGATTGGTCTGATCAGAAGTGTTTTCTGTGGGGCTGTACCTGACTCAGTATAGTCAGTCAAATTAGATTTGGCTGTTCAATACAAACATTCAACTATTTGTTCCCTTTTTTCATGTACACTCTTAGTAACACTTAATTGAACTGCCAGATTTTTTAACTGGGTTGGATGAGAGGTTCAAAGTGACAGAGACATTCACATAATATAGTAAATAATCCAAGTTAGCCCTCTGAGCTAATGCGTGCTAACTACGCTAACGATGGATTGGAAATGTGCAACAAAAATTTTTGCAGACACTAGATATCAAACAAATGCCACAGATTGTGTCGTATGAAATTGCTATGAGCTGTAAATTCACAACGGCTAAGCAGAACGCAGAAGATAAGATACCCCTTATGGGGCAAAGCCTCCAGGCAGCTGCCCAGGTCTCACTCATACTCACCGTAGGTCTGGGTCTGCAGCTGCCTGTATATGTCGCAGGCATATTCACCAAGCAGACGGGATGACTGTAATGATTTTTATCCTGAAGAGCAACATGAGAGCCAGGCTGACTCAGAATGTCCCTGGAAATACACTGCACACAGACTGACATTTGTATTGACTCACACATCAGGTACACTAACCGGTTTCATTTTCTCTGACAATAACATCAGGTGCTAATTGCTGATGTCTGTCACCTAAGGTCATCAACAGTAATTTGACACATGTCTGTTCTCATGTGTTTACTACTGTGTACTAACAGTATTAAAATCTTGACTTTTACCTTGTGAAATTATGACTTCTTTTACAAAAAGCTATGACTTTATTCTTGTAATATTAAGACGTTTTCCTTGAAATATTATGGCTCTGCTGTCATTACACTACAACTTTATTTTCATGAAATTATGACTTTTTCTCAAAATATTACAACATTTTCTCTGAATCTTAGACAACACAGATATGTGGGATATGTTTTGAATGTGCAGAAAGTTTTGAACATGAGCAGAAATCTCACATATGAGCTGTTAAACCCAGGAGATCATAAATGAATTAAAATGATGTATAATAATATAGTATGAATAGGTGCCACATGCACATTTTACAGAGGTTACTTCTAAAAAAAAAAAAGACAAAAGAGGATAGAAGATTACTCATGCCTACATGTGCTGACTCAGCAAAGATAACGTTAATGAGAAACATTAATCTACAGGAGAATAAACAAACAGAATGTAGCGTGATGCAGAGTGAAGCTGCCCTCAACTACACATTTAATTTGAAGTCTTTTATTTTGTTCTGCCAAGAGCAAAAATACAGTATATTAATCATCACAGTTCGCCACACTCACAGTACTTTACACTCAAGTGTGTGTTCTTGTTTCCTGAACGTATTCAATATTCTAACACAGGAAAATTATGAACATCTACACCAACATCAAAACAATAAATCATGTATGTTACATCTCTATTCCAGACCAGTTTCATCATGTACCTTCAATATCAACTTGTCTCGTAAATACACAGTCAGCCAATCATGTCTACTTAACACTGTCACATTAACCAAATCAATCATGTATCTATTTTAACATCACATAAGTTATTAATTTATTCACCTATGAACTGTACGCAAACAGCATGAACTCTTAAGACCGGCTCATAGTTCTACTCTCCAGCCTCACGCTCACTCAAGGCAACGAGGTAACCAGGCACCCAGTGCTAACTACTAGCTAGCCGCCATTTTCAGTACGTTACGTTCGCTGAACAAATAGCGTTCTTAAACATTCTTTTTCTTTGGAACCACATTGAGTCCAACCGAGATTGTAAACTACCACATAACATATTCATTCATTACTTATCCAATTCTAACTCTCCCTGCTTACCTGCCAAGAGCAAAAATACAGTATATTAATCATCACAGTTCGCCACACTCACAGTACTTTACACTCAAGTGTGTGTTCTCGTTTCCTGAACGTATTCCCGCGATCCTTCCCTTGTCCCTGCACACACAGTGTAGCGAACGCGCCCTCTGCTGGTCAGAGTTAGACAATGCATACTAATAGATAACACTACATTTTTCAACCAATAAACCAGCCTCTTACCTTATCAGAAAACACCCAGACAATAACACCACACTCAGAACATGAGCTGTACAACATGAAATGCAAATGAAACATATGAATAATATTTATGTAGGTATATCAACCCACTGATTGCTCTGTATGCCACAAGAACCTGAGAGCCTCACTGCATATACTGTATTTTGAATTTTCCGCTGCTTACCGTTTATGTTTTCCTTTAAACATATACTATAAATTGATGCAGAGGCAAAGACACAACATGGCGCATAAAAATTCACCAGAATGCAGCAAGTGAAGTTTTTGACGCTGATATTTTCCTTGGGAAGTACCCTGTGACTGCCCACGTGATATATGTACCCCCAATGTACACCTTTGCCACTAAGTATAGGGTGAGCTGAGCAGAGAGCAAGTGTCAACATAAAACAATATAATAAAAAAAAAACTTAATACAATACGTCTGGGGATGCTTCAGTCGTCCCGTCCGCTCGGTGAAGATGTCTATGACAGGTACAGGCAGCTGTGGACCCAGACCCAGGGTGAGTCTCAGTAACACAGAGGCAGCTCCTTGGAAGAAGAGGGAGGGGCTCGGCAGTCAGTGTGCAGTGTACTTCTGGGGGCACTTCAGTCCACAGAAGTTAATCTAACCACTAATTTATTGAGTATTCTAAAGATTGTTTTTTTATTACTCAAGTAGTATAACTTTTAAATAACCCAAAAATGAATAACAAAAACTTATATTTAAATATTTTATTCAGTTATCTTCTCTTAAAAACAATGACGGTAGCAGCATGTTTTAAAATTAGTCTAATTTCTACATCACTGTTGTGTTATGATAATATTAATAATAATAATAAGCCCTATTTGTCCGATACCTGATCAGAAAATACTGGACCTCAAATTGAAAAGCGTTGCTGAAACACATATTAATTTAATCACTGTATATCACAACAATCCTCTCCCTGAACTGGAGAATCTGTATTTTTTCTCAAGTGCTTGACCTAAAACTTGAAATAGTTATGACATGGATTTATTTCATCACTGGAGTAATATGCAGTTAAAGGCTCTCTAAGTCTTCCTAAGCTTGAAAAATTTTTGTCACATACAGCAAACGTCTCCTCACGATCCGCTAGCTACATGTCCTCTGAATATGCCGTGAAAAAGTCCAGTCTCTGTAGGCAGCCCAGGCTCCGCAAATGGCAACAAAAACATTTTGGTCCAGGCTGCACCAAACAGCCAGCGCGAGACCAGCGAAAGCAAGCACACACACATGAACGCGGTACCCATGTCTCACGGTCTCTCGCAAGCGTGCACACTTGAACGCGGTGCCCAGAGAGGCAGTTAGAGCTACAGGCTACAATGAGGCTAAAAGGCGAGCTAGCTCCGTTGTGTTTGATAACATTGTTGAACGTAAACAGAAGCGAAGTGTTTTTGTTGCCATTTGCGGAGCCTGGGCTGCCTACAGAAACCGGAGTTTTTCACAGCATATTCAGAGGACATGTAGCTAGCGGATCGTGAGGAGGTTTGCTGTATGTGACAAAAACTTTTCAAGCTTAGGAAGACTTAGACAGCCTTTAAGATAATTACTGGCAAATGTATTTTTGCATCAGTATGGGGCGAGGAAAGTAACTGAAATGATTTACAGACTGTAACAGGAGTCACAGACTGTCACAGTGGTCTGTAATGTTAGTTTAAGATCCTCTTCTCACTCATGCATGCCTGTTATAGTAAACAGATAATATAAAACAGCCGGATAACAACATTAGATGCGGTTACCACTACAAACAGAAACACGTTCCACGCGTTGATAATGCTAATATACCCACGATGCTTCAACTTCTAGTGTCTGTGAGCTGCAGTTGCACTCCTGTGAGAAGTCATTTTCACTTTGTAGGTGAGGTTTTTGCTGCAGCTCATTCTCTGGAGGAATCCATGCTTTCACCAGGTGCAGCCTACCTTATTGCGACACACTGACGTACATTTATTGGCACAAAATAAACCTGAACACACTCCTCTTCCTTATTCCTTTTTGTCACCCATATTTCTGAATGTTGAAATCTCACCCTGTCTGTTCTGAAGCATCAAACATCACAAACAAAACAAGAGCTGTTCTTACATAATGCTATAATTGCAGGCAAGTATGTAAATGTGAACCACAAACTGTAACACTCTGGCAACACTTTCTGTTATCATCATCTTATGATATTCTTAAAAAATATTGACAGCAGAGTCAATAAATGTTTATGTCAACATGTGCTAATGTGTCTTTTTTCTTCTTTACAGAGGAGGAGGTTACCTACATCACATACCACAGTCCGGTGAGTCCTGATTGTCCACTCGTCCCTCTGTGGTTGTGCCAGATTCCTCTGCTCTCTGACTGTAAATAAGCTCACAAACTATTCTGCTTTTATTTTTGACAGGTTAGACAAGAGGTTTATTCAGACATGTGAGTACAGTTTTCACACACACACACACTCACAGTGATCTATTTTGTTATTATCATCGTCTCATTTTTGTCATGGAAGACAGGTCGTTGACGTAGCCATAATTTGCTGACATAGCTTTTGTCAACGAAATTAAGACTGCCACAGAGTCCACTATGTTGCACGTGTTTCTGTGGTAGACCAAAACAAACAAACCAAACATTGGCTCTAGATAGGGCCATCTGTATTTTCGCATCAGCCACCGTAGTTCTACTGCACACTTGGCATGAGGGAAAAGTTTAACTCAGTTGCAATTTGCAACCTCACCACTAGATGACACAAACTCCCATACACTGGACCCTAAGTAAATATTCCCTGAAGCGTCTACAGCCAGGTTAGCGGCTCTGTGCTAACATGCTACCAACAGCATGTTATCATGCTCACAATGATAATGTTTACAGGCTGAGGTTTAGCATAATGTTAGCTTTAAACACAAAGTACAGCTGAGATTGATGGGAACATGAAATGTCTGGCCAAATTTCATGGTAATTAATTGAAAAGTTATTGAGATATGTCTGTCTGGACCACAGTGGTGACCGGCCACCTGACATCACCACTTCTACAGCCACACTGCTAGTGTGGATAGGAAATGAAACTTGACTGTAAGAAAATAGTTTAACCTGTTGATTTGCATTGGAAAAAAAGATTGGAATATAACGTGTAAATTTCCCTCTGAAATGCAGTGAACAAGAAGCATACAAAAGCATAAATTAAAAATACCTGAGTAAAGTACAAGTACCTTAATGTTGTACAGTGCTTGAGTAAATGTACTTTGCTCCTTTTTGTCACTGGGAATATACTGCACATTGTGTCATTATCTCTTTACAGCAGTGTTGTTACTGTCTATAAATAGCTTTGACTATTTGCTAAATTAAATTATAATTGTAAAGTGTCCTCCATTCAGGCTGAAACGAAGAGGCCACCCTGAGCCAGAGGAAGACGAGGAGTCAGACCCAGATACAGAGTGAGTCTGTAGTATAAACTGATGGTGTGTTTGTTTGAGCAAATGAGTTCCTTGCCTGGTCTTAATATCATCTTCCCTCCTGTGCTTCAGACCCCCTGTCCAGGTCACTAACAGAACAGCCAATCACAGCGCAGTACGATCCAAGGAGCCAGTCAAGAAGTCTGGAAGCAGCTTTTGGAAGATGATTCGGCTGCTGCTGCTGTTAGCTGTGGTAGCAGCCGTCCTCTACTACGCCTACTGCCGTGTGATCAACAATGAAGAAAATCCTTTTGCGAGTCTGTGATCAGATTTATTGTTAGGAAGACAGGGTTTTTTACCATTCCATTTCTCCTCTGTTAATATCAGTAATAGTACTGTTTTTTTTTTGTTTTTTTTTCATCCCAATGCAAAGTTTCACCACATTCCTTACACTTTTAAAGGCTGCTAATATTCTATATTTCTTAGTGTCACCAAATACAATGAAATGATAAAAAAACTACAGTCTGTGCATCCAAAGTAGGGATAGGCATCAATTTTCGGTTATCGATGATTGATTGTTAAGGATTTTGATCGATCACAAATAATTTTGCTCGATAGTCGCAGTGTTTCCCCTAATTACAATGCTACAGGCCCGGCGAGCCACCGTGCTTATGAGACCCCCTGCCGGACCTATGTCAGGCAAAAAATCATAAACAGACAGAGGCTCTCATCGCTCTCCAAAGCTTGGCTGCTTCCCTTGAGCCCTCTCAAAACATTATGCCATTGAAAGACGGAGGTTTCGCTGAAAACTGAAGCCTGTAACCCCTGGCTGGCAACGTTTGTAAACACCCAGGGGTGAATTGCACATGCGCGCCATTCTTCTTCTTTGGCCTGGGGGGGTTGAAGCTCAGAACTGGGGCAGCTGCACTCTCTTGCGGCGACAATCTGCACTGCACTCTTGTTTTCTCTCTTTTGAAATACTTGCTTATCAATTAATCGATAATTGATCGTTATTTTTTTTTTTTGATGACCGAACAATGAATTTTGATCATTTGCCCATCCCTAATCCAAAGCCTGGTATATCTCATTTCTCAGGGTCATCAGTGTTTGGGGGCGATGGTTTGTTGGGGCGGCAGTAGCTCCATCCATAGGGACTAAGGTGGGGAACCGAAGGGTCGCCAGTTCCCCTCCTGGGCATTGCCGATGTGCCCTTGAGCAAGGTACTGAACCCCCTACTGCTCGGGGTGCCTGTCCATGGGTAGCTCTCTCACTCTGACATCTCTCCATTTAAAACATGTATAGGTCCTGTTGGTGCATGTGTGTGTATTTCAGGCCTGTATGACAACAGTGAAAAAAAAAGAATTTCCCTTTAAGGATCAATAAAATATATCTTCTTCTTCCCCAACCATTAAATTGGGGGGTCTATTAGACCCCCCTGAAGGCCTTATTGGCGAGGAATTAAGGATGTCATTAATTTGTTTTGTTTTTTATGGTTCCACACTAGCACTAGTCATGGCCTGAGGCATTATGTTTTCAGTTTGTCTGTCAAGTACGTACGTACATACATCTGTATGTCTGTCCCATTCTACTGAATGCGATATCTCAGCAACGCTTTGAAAAAGAATTTCCAAATATACCTCAAACGACCACTTGGACTCAACGATGGTTTTGGTGGTCAAACATCAAAGGTAGTTTTAACCGTGCGTCTGTCTCATTCGCATAAATGCAGTATCTCAGCAACACTTTGAAGGAATTTATTCAGATTTTGCACAAATGTCCACTTGGACTCAACAATGAACTGATTAGATTTTGGTGGTCAAAGGTCACTGTGACCTCAAAAAATGTTTTTGGCCACAACTCGAGAATTCATACGATAATAATGACAAAACTTCACACAAATGTCTGATAGGATATAATGGCATAGTGATGACATTTTATATCCAAAAGGTCAAAGGACATCTTCACTGTGACATCATAATGGTCTGCAAAAACACTTCTGACCATTATTAAACGTCATGACTCAGAAACAGATGGGGAGACATTTGGTTAGATGCTAAATTGGTGACACTAATCTTTTGTGTCCACCTTAAAACTGTGCTGATTGTACAGATCTTCTCTGCTGCCAGGTTGAAGATGTGTGTGAAACGTTGTTCTAGAATCTGTATGTATCCATATTTGAAGCATTGTCTACTGTCAGGATTACATATGAGTCCGGACAGACATGGATAAAAACTGTAACTGCAACTTGACTGCTTTTATAATAAATGAATATATAGATTTAGATATTAAGAAATACACTTTTAAACATTTAGGGTTGAAATAATGTCCCTTAATCATGTATAGTTCCAGTATGAATGATTGAGTGTTTTCTCAGACCATGCATTATTCGTTTCAGCTTTAGAATGCAAGGTTGCAGCAGTATGCACTGCTAAAGATTTCCATCTTTACTGAGCTTAGTGCTGAGAGTCACAGACAGGCCAGGATAAAGACACTAGACAGAGTATTGAGATGCAGACAAACACATAGTGAGACTGGTCATGGTTTTGGTCTTTTCATGGGATTTGTTGACAACAAGGAAAATTAGGAATATCGCTCGCCCTTTGCTTTAATTTCTTTGCATGAAATGTTGCACTATGTTTTCCAGCTATGCAGAGCTCTGTGTGTTTGATTTCTTATATGCAGCTGTCCTCTAATGTGATTTGTTCTTATTTGTGAGATGCACATGATGATGTCATGTAGTACAAACTGACTGGTGAACAGAGGCTGTCCTTTACATTACGTCAGATCAAAAACCAAAGGCTGTTGTGTATATGTGCTGAAAAATCTTTGAAAAAGATAAAATAAAAAATCTCTCCAGCTCCCTAGAGAGTGAGTGTTTGAACTTTCTGTAAAACATGGCATTGAAGATGAAGTTCTAAGTATGAAAAATGTTAATGAGGTGCAAGTAAATTAGAATATAAACAGAATAAGGGACTTGTTTCCAATGATAAAACATTGTCAAATACCAAGTACTGAATTCATTTATTTAGTTACAAAACTTAATTCCACCAATTCAACATTTGAATAGAAACAATATAAAGCACTGATACATTTATAAGTTAGAGGCTTTAAATAGTTTGGAAAAAAAGTATACTAAAAGAGTCTGTTGACATCTGTGCTCAAAGGCAGATGAGGCAGTGGTAATGTATTCAAACTGAGGTTTTCAGTTGGTCAAGTTGAATTTAACAGCTGTGATCCTGAGTTGAGGTTGTGGTCGATGGTCACTGAGGATGTCGTTTCACTTGGTCATCTTTGGGTCTCAGCCTGGAGTCCCAAAAGCCTCTCAGGACTATGTGATGGTAGAGTCATTAAATCCATTCAGGACTTCAAGGTTTGTTCCAGTTGGTGAATCCTTGCCCAAACCAGTCATAATTTAAACAGGGAGCTGATGTTACAAAAAGCCTGCTGTGTCACCGTAACCCTTTAGAATTCAAGGCTTTGAGGTAACAGGTCATTTTGGTCCAAATGCTGCTCTAAATGCCACCAGTCACGTTAAGATCGATGGGCAAAGCAGGGGAAATCTGAGGCTCGTTTACTGACATCACAGGTGGTACCGATGACCTGGGAAGAAAAACAAAAACAAGTTTGAAAGGCTTTACAACAGTTAGTGAGCCTACTGTGACACTTTAATGGCCTACCTGACAGCATGTCCCTCAAATCCAAGCGCTGTGATGAAGATATTGATGAGGACAGTGAAGAAGACAAACACTGTTGCCACATTGTTCAGCCTGTTCAACTTGGCGTGTTTCCTGGCGTCGTTTAGATCATACTTCACTGCTGGGACAGAATCGCACAACAGCAAAAACTAAATAAGCTACAGGAGAAGCTGGTGAGCAACAGAGACAGAAAGACCAGCCCAGTATCATAGAAATACATGAAATGGACATAACATATTATATGGTGGTGGGCATGAAATGAGTTAAATTATGTGCTGGTAACACAAAGTGCAAATCCCTGCCACAATGGGCTGACGGCCCAAACCAAACTAACCCAGCCCATAACTGTTGAAGAGAGGTATGTGATACAGCTGTCAATCATGTCAGTCACTGCAGTCAAACTGTCAAACTAGATAGCACTGATCGAATATGAATCAGTTTGACCACAATTCACAAGCCATCCTTGACACAACTGACAGCTACACTGGAGACTCCTCTGCTCTGATTGGTTGTTTTCATTCAGCTGCAGTAGTTCATACCAAATGCCAATAGAAGCAATAAGGGAAGGAGGAACATGATGTTTTTTTCACAGACAGTCTCATGTGATATTGTGGATCTAAAGCCAGTGTCAGGAGATATGACAAAAACGTATTTTCATCAAAGTTATCAACTGTGGCTTTAATGCAAAATATGAAACTACAGCCAGCAGCCTGTTTCTGACCAGAGGTAACAAAATCCAAATACAGCACTTCTAAAGCTCACTAATTTTCCTCTACGTCACAATTTCCCTCCCAGTGCACAAAAACAAGATGCAGTGACTTCAAAGATAAGTAATATATGAATCAGTGAGCTTAGAAGTGCTGTATTTGGATTTTGTTACCTCTGGTCAGCTCACTGATTCATACATTACTTATCTTTGAAGTCACCGCATCTTGTTTTTGTGCACTGGGAGGGAAATTGTGACGTAGAGGAAAACCAGTGCACCAATGTTCCCTTTAGCCTCCATCAGGCAGATATGGCTGGGGCTTGTTTTCAAATTGTATTGATCAAACTGTGCAAGAAAGATGACAACAATGGAGATGCAAAAAGCCTGAGTCACTTGCCAATAAAGACGAGCAGCAGCCCCACTATGACCTGTAACGTGATAGACAGAGACAGCAGGACAATGAGCGGGATGTAGAAACGGTAACGAGGCCCCACATAGAGAACAGTCTTCAGCTGGGACGAGTTGGCCATCAGCAAGGCAACGTCCAGCATGCTCTGAGCCGCACTCTTCTTTGTGGCGTAGTGATTCAGGTTGATGGATCGGAAGACTTTTCCAGAGGGGACTGTCTGTGCCTGAAGGTGTTGAGAGGATAAGGTAGGTCTGAGAGAGAGTAAACTGTCAGGTTCTGTTTAAGAACAGAGGTACAGATCCACCTGTGACAGTACAGGATCAAATGATTAACAGTGTTATGCTTTTGTTCTCGATTGCTCTCTGTGTCCAAGTCCATGCGTCACTATGGTTTCTCTCACACACAGAGAGGTGTTGTGTATTTTGTTACTAGGCTCTCTCTGTACTCTGTGTACTCAGGCTGTCAGAGAAGAGGTGGGAGTGGCAGAGACACATTTGATAACTCACCTGGTCGAGAGAGAGAGAGAGAGAGAGAGAGAGAGAGAGAGAGAGAGAGAGGTAACAAGACACAACATGCAGTCGGCATGTCTTTCCACATCTCTAGAAACTTGGGAATGTGTCACATGAACTGGTACATACATGTGCAGAGAGTATGAACTGAGACTGACTCTGTAGGTGAGCAGGAGGTATTTTAGGGGGTGTTAGTTAGTGATACCAGCTAAACTGTTTTCTGGGCAGAATAATCATCCTGATCACCACACCCATTCACCCCCTTCTGAGAGAAAGTGATTGTTTGTTTTAACCACATCAGTGGTAAAGGCTTTTTCCCAGGGATTCACCCAGTCTTGTAACATAGGTAGCTGAGATGTCACACCTGGGTGAAACTCTGTCTGAGTCACACAGCTTTCATTCATCTCAACACAAAGCTGACAACTATGGAAAGAAACATTGATTTCACATGGGCTTACGTCACCACTGACGTTCCTGTAAATGGACTACATTATTATTACTTTAATAGTGTTTCCCAACCTTCTGTTTCCCAAGACTTTTCTTCTTTAGACTTCTCTTTCATCTGTCCTTTTTGAAGACTTACTAGATAATTCTAGGCATTTTTAACCTTTTACAATTATTCAAACAAAACAAGGACTAAATCTCTATTTGCTTTAACTGGTCACCACTGGTACACATGGAAATGATTATGGGCGTTCCCTCATAGACCCCATTTTTTTAAGGAGAACCACACCTATTTACAAGATTCATACATTTTATTCCTATGGTCCAAAACAGTCCAAAAGTTTAGTAAACATGAACTCTCTCACAAATCCGAAAGCTAGAGTACTAAAACTCACATTTGTGATGTCATAGATAGGGTAGCTGCTCCATAGACAATGACTTGGGAAAGATGTTCTCGATGACACTTAGAGCAGCCAAGGGAATGTTCTGAGTATATGGGGACATTTCTTGTTTCAGACAGAGAATTGGACCCACAGAATCAACATTCAGTCATCAGTCTCCCATTCTTTGTTTATGGAGCAGCTCCAGACTTTATACCTGATTACATCATGAGGTTGAGACTTTCTTTTCTGGTTTCTGGCTTTGAGAGAGAGTAGCTCATGTTCACAAATATAGACTGAACTTTCCAAGGCCACAGAGATAACATATTGGAATCCTTAATTCAGTCAGTGTTGGGCAAGTTATTCTCAAAATGTAATACATTACATATTACTAGTTACTTTTTAAATGAATGAAAAGCCTTGGACACAGTAGGGTCAGGCAGAGGATCAAAGTCTAACAGTTATGAGGTACAGATCTATATTTATGGGCCTATGATTTGGAACACAATAAACAAATGTTGACGAACAGAATGGCTTGTGATCAATTCACTATGATGAGCACAAATGAAAATACTGGAGCTGGAAAGACCCACCTGCCGGTTCCTGGTGTGCCAGTCAGCTACAGCAGCACCAGAGAGAGTTTTGCATAACAAAAGGACTGTGTGCCGACATTGCTCTGCACTTTCAGGCAATGTGAATGTGGGTAATGTTATTATACGTTGGATCCATCATATACTAACATCACCCCAATGTGCCGATCATTGTGGTGAGGAAAAAACAACCCTCAAGCCAGCTCCTTATCCCCGCTGCTTTCAAGCAGCCTTAGGACACAAAAGCAGAACAGGATACGCTGTGGGTATATGACTGAAAACACACTGGACATGATGACGCACCTAATCAGTGGCACCCTTCTATAAGGTGACGTTTAATGATGTGATAACTCCAGGCAAGGAAAGAAACCATCTCTTACTAATGACCTCAACCAGTTTTTAAAGGTGTGCATCTGATGTTTTCCACAGGATTTGTGAACAGTAATAGGAACACACAATGGACACTTGGGTTGGATAATCATCATCTAAAATAAACACATGTGCTTTTAGCTATTTCTGAATCCTGTCAGCTTTTTATTATTTATCTTGTATTATCTAACTGCCAACAATTTACAATTAAATTCTAACTGGATGTCAATGAAATGACTCTATGAGGGGACCCACAGTGTAAAGTTATTAAAGATGAAATGAAAGGAGCAGGGATGTGTATCATTTCCATCTGAATACAATATAATAAAACAACAGAAACAGAACAGACAAGGAATGATTTACCAACCCCAAATACGTGCATTTGATACACTGGTTCTAAAGGATAGGTGATCGTAAGTGTTATATCGTAGGCAACTGGACTTGCTTGAGTTTCTTGAAGACGTTTTGCTTCTTGGATGAGAGGCACGTATGATTACCATGACTGGATGACTGAGAATCTTCACTGAAAAGGATAGGTGAGGCTGAAACTGATTACCGTCTTTTATAAAAGGAATGTGGCTTGTGTGGTATCTTCATGTGAGAATGGGCACACACAGCTCATAGCTGCCAATCAGGACTGGATTCTGCAATTGCATTACTGTAATTACAGATTTTAACCATCACTCTTGAGTGAAGTATTTCTTTGGCAGAGGTCTGAGAACATGTTCTACTCAAGTATCATTATGGATTTATGTTTTCCAGGAGTCTGCTCACACTGATAGGCCAACAGACTAATAAAAATAAAATTACTATAGTGAGAAAGTGTAAATATTAATCAATGACAGGCTCAATAGGCTTCAATAAATTACTTTTTCATTTGTAAGTCCTGGCCCCACTTTGTCTGCTAGGAAGAATTCTGGCCCTTGGGCAAATGATGACTCGTGGGTCAAAGCAAAGCAGAGTAGAACAGAAAAGAACATATAAAGAACATAGCAGAACAGAAACAAACAGGAAAAAAACAAACAAAAAGACTGGAGCCGTATTGGATACAATAGAAAAGATCTTGTTGTTGCATACCTCTACATCGCCCATTTTATTCAGAGCTATGTCCTCTCTGTTCAGCCTGTGTGCTGCGTCCATTCTCCCCTCTTTGGTAAAGCCCCAGCAGCTATCAGGAAACCGTCCTCCTGCCAATGATGTGGTGAATATGTGCTGAGATGTGTAGCCTCAGAACTCTCTGTTCATAAACTAGCCACGGGGAAACATGAGGGAGTAGACAGGCCCAACAAGTCAGGCAACTCCTCCAGATACAAAGACATGAAAAAGATCCCTCCCACTGTGTGTCACTCTTCAGCTTACTTGTTGAGAGGTGTTTTACTCACACCTACTTTATTTTTAATGTGATATTCGGGGACACTGTGAGCGACAAGGGATTTGGCAGAGATAGGCAAACATGAGAATGGACTGTTTGTAGAACCTGCAGAAAACAAACTGTAAAACACCTACTCATGAAATGCAACTGTGGCATGGAGAGAAAAAGCAAGGCTCTATGTTGCATTATCACACCTAGGCACAGAGACAGTGACAGTGAAGAGAATCAGTCAAACACTGTAAAAACAGTCCTTGAATCCATCACAGCCACATGATTACACATATGGAAATGCAATCACTCCAAACTGCAATATCATCCTGACCTGTGGGGGAAAGCAATGTCCGAAAGCATGGATGTATCCAGAAGTGGTTACTTAATAAGGATAAAGTTTTTTTTAATCAGCAGGGAATTTAGAGTCAAGGTTTGAGGAAGATTTTGAAATAGAAAATAGTATGAAATGGAAGTGCAATTAACCTAGTACTTTCAATATAATGATAAATGACATTTTAACAAATTAAGATGGATGCATCAATCCAGCGCTTTATGTAGACATTGGGGCCATATGGATTACGGGAAGAAATGTACCACATGTATTAGGGGTGGGGGAAAAATCGACACAGCATAGTATCGCAATATTTTTGTGTTCCTATATCATATCATCACACAATGCCAAGTATTGATTTTTTTTTAATAAGATAAACTATTAATATTACAAACACAAATCAAACTTTATAGGCAACCTACTAGAATAATAAAATCAATTGCTTTTGCAGGGGCAGACAAACAGGCATTAAATGACATCTACAGGGCAATCATGAGGTCAACAATAGATTATTGCTGTATAGTAAATAGAGCAGCAGCAAAAACATCACTGGCGGCACAGTGGTGTGGTGGTTAGCACTGTCGCCTCACAGCAAGAGGGTTGCCGGTTCGATCCCGGGCGTGGGAGCCCTTCTGTGCGGAGTTTGCATGTTCTCCCCGTGTCAGCGTGGGTTCTCTCCGGGCACTCCGGCTTCCTCCCACAGTCCAAAGACATGCAGATTGTAGGTGTAGGTGTGAATGTGAGCGTGAATGGTTGTCTGTCTCTATGTGTCAGCCCTGCGATAGTCTGGTGACCTGTCCAGGGTGTACCCTGCCTCTTGCCCGATGTCAGCTGGGATAGGCTCCAGCCCCCCCGCGACCCTCAAGAGGATGAAAAACATCACTACAAAAGTAGACAGACTACAGTCAGAACATTACAGTTAAGTATAGGAGCTATTAAGTCACCCTCCATGTATGCAGTACTAGAAGCAGGAGAGACATCACTTAAGTTAAATTGAGATAACCTTGCACTCGCATACTGGGTCAGGTTAAAATGAAGTGGGGAAGAAAACCCAGCTAAGAAGTTACTGCAGGAGTGTTGGGAATACTCTCAAATTCCAGGGGTGGGGGTTTGGATGGACAATAGAAGAAAGAGTAAGGACATATGGAATGGAGGCATTAGAGTTCACCAGATCCACCCCGGTTAGTAGCGTACCCTGTGGCTTTTCCCAGAAGTAAAGATAGACAAGACTATTGTGGAAAAGAAATGAAATGAGTGAATGAGTGAGTGAAGTGGTAATTAAAGCAAGTGTGTATCTAAGGAACAGTTGTCTTAAAATCTACACTGATGGCTCTAAGAATACACAGGGGTGTGTGGTAGTTGGTGTGAATATCCCCGAGTTCAAAATATCTATTTCCAAAAGACTGACCAGTTATCTGTGTATACAGCAGTACCAGTGGCAGTCATTATTGCTTTACAGTGGGTTGAAGAGGTCAGGCCTGATAGGGTGGTGGTGTGCACAGACTCATTAGTTGCTTCGGAAAGCATACGATCAACAACAACTGTCTGAGAATATTTAATCCTTGAAGTTTTTAATAGCTTACTAGGACTTCACAGAGGTGGTATAGATGTACAGTTTTTGGGGTGCCCACACATACTGTAAGGATCTGATAGGAAATGAGTGTGCCGACATACAAGCAAAAGGAGCATTAAAAAAATATATGTAATAATAATAATAATAATAATAACAGCACCAGTATTTCAAAAATTACAAAAACCAGTCATAACAAAGATATATAGCCTAAAGAAAGAACTAGAAGGGAGGAAGTCATCAACAAGACTCAGGTTAGATCACACAGGATTAAATGGCACCATGTATGTACCGGGGAAAAGAAACAGTGACAGGCGTGGGAACTGTGGAGTTAAAGAAAAATGTGGAACTGATCTTATTGCAATGCGCTATGTATGAGGTGGAAAGGAAAAAAAATAGTGATAAATTTCAAGAGGTGGGGCGGAAGTGGAATTTGGTGGGGTTACTGGGAACAGAAGGAGAGGCAATAGAGGTGAGAGTCACCAGGAAGCCACGCTGTCTCTTTACTTTGTTAAAAGACACACGGTTCATGGGAAGAAGTTGGGACACCAGGTGACTTGATATGATGTTGCACACTCGTGTACAGTAGGTGGCGGTATGCACCTTAAAGTTACTTGCGATCCGCCAATAAACTGAGAGAAGAACAAGAACAAGAACAAGTAGAAGTTGTTTGGGGGCAGGGCAGAGGGCAACAGTGGAGGTTAAAGACGATACAAGCACAGGACAGGACTTTAGGGAGATGAGAAGGGGGCTGGTATCTTATATAATGCAGGCAGGATTAGGAAATAGTTGTTTTAATTAATTTATTTAAGGCCAATCCGTATTCAGTTACATACGCCGACACAGTAGGTGGTGGTATGCACCGATCCGCCATTTAACACACAGAAGAAGAAGAAGAAGAAGAAGAAGAAGAAGAAGAAGAAGAAGAAGAAGAAGAACAACTATTTGTTTGGAAAATGGCGGGTGCTTTGAAGGAAGAACATCTTGCACGACATGTTTATGCTTCATTACAGGTAAAGGAAGTTAAAGTAATGGAAAAAATATTTTAGTGACATAACAGTACGCGATTCTCGAAAGTTTGCTTATTGTTGTTTATTCTCATAAGTACTGCTACACTTTTTTGGGCTGCTAGCTACGACGGGCACTCCTTAGGTTTCTACGACATACAACTTCCTACGAAAACCTTAGGGGTGAGATATAACGATATTTTAAAGGTGTTATATCTGCTGGTTATATCTGTTTCATATTATTCTGTGGGTGCATTAAGATATTAAGAACTTTAATAATTCAGTGTTTAATTTCAGTTTTCCTGTCACAGTTAAGGAATTTGATGTGGTAATGGGGGCTATACGTAGTGGTTCTGTAAGTTTGTGCAAGTGTTATTTTATATCAAAATGTTTCTTTGGTTAATCCTGTTCACACTCCTTGTGAGAATACGTGTTCCCCCTCCATCCTGTAAGATAATAACAAAGCTATTCACTCTCTGTTACAGAGTGAAATTGTCACAAAGCCCTATGATATCTGGAGTAACTTTGCAAAAAATATTCACTGAACAAAAGTTTGGTCATTGCTAATCACCAAATTCATGATACAATATTATTGCGATTTTAAATATTTTGCGATATGCTGAGTATATTTAATAAAAATATATTGTAATTTATAACCTTTTTTAAACTGTAAATTATGTCCCCAAAGGAAAACTTTGTCAACATCTGTTTTCTCTAATAAATTTTACAGTCTGTTCATCTCATTTCAGCCATTTTTGTGCAGCAGTATATGTAGTGAACTGAAAAGGCAGTTGATTCTACTATTCTACTAGGCTACGTAAAGTCAATTTTGTATTTGTAATATTAATCATTTCTACAACAAAAAATCGAAATCTGTACTTGGCACTGTGTGACAGTACAATGTTGCCACAAAAAAAAATACTGCGGTACTATGCTGTGTCCTTTTTTTTGGCATATTACTATCGCTACTCTCCCTTGCTGTGTATATTTCTGCAATTAAAGAGTAATGGAGTGTTTAAAATTGAATATCCGGTCTATGTTTTGTTTTTGTTGAGGCTGTATCTTGTCCCTTGGTGGAAGGTTTGTACCTGCAGGAAGCGGACAGCATGCTGCAGCTGCTGTGTACTCCCTCTCAGCACCGCACCGACATACTGGCATGGATCTGCGGCAGGTAGAATAAGCCACATAGAACATCAACCCCATTCTTATTCATCATAAATAATTTCTATATAAATATAATCAAATCACTCTGTCCGATCTTGACCTGTCACTTTACAGTATCAACCCAAACTTTGCCAATTCCAAAGCGATGTCAGTAAGAGCCAAAGACCCAGATGTTTTGACTAAAGGTAACGTTGTCTGTCAAAGGCTGTTTCCTACACAGGAAATAGTTAACAGTCTTGCATGACCTCTTACACTGCTGTGGTCTGTTTTGGTACAAACAGAAATGGCTGTGCTTGGGCAGGAGCTGATGCTGTGCAGAGCAGATGACCTGGACCTGATCAAGGTGAGAGATTGCATAAAACCAGTGTTAATGTAATCGATATACATATGTAGACATTGTCACAATAAACAGAAATTGACCTGTTTCATTTCTCAAACCATTTATCCAGGGTGATTCAAGTCCTCACCGGCAGCTTCAGTTCCAGGAGCAGCTATTAACTTTAGTACCTGGCTGCAAGAAGTCTGCAGGCCACAGAATGGATCCAGAGATGCTCCTGAATGAGCTCTACGCTGCTGAGAACCTGCCTCACTTCACACATATGCTCAAACCAACACTCGATCCCTGGCCTGCACACATCAAGTACGTATGCCTGTGTGATTATCCTGTTGCTAACACATTGAATCCTTTGCCTCACTTTTTATTCGCTGCATGTTGTCAATGTTTCCTTTAAATGAACTTGCCATAATAAGAGTGTAGAGGTATGGTGGATCATCACATATTGCATTGTTTCCTGTGGTTGGCCAGCAGCAACAGTGTCTTTATATTTGTCTCCAACCCTCTTACTGCTATTCCATACTTCACAGGGCTTTAAGCAAGGGCACCAAGTCATCTCATAAGCCGAGTAGAGAAGAGGCTGCTGATGTTGCCACCCTTCTACAGCTGACGCGATCAACACTGGAGCAGCTACAGTCAGAGGTATGGTGTTTATGTGGCCAGAGATGTCTGCAGTCCTGTACAGTCTTTAATTGAAGCAGGGTGTCCATGCTAAACTACTACCACATGAATTTAAAATATCTGACAAACACTCAAAGCTATTTTTGAAATGGATATTAGGATCAGTAATGATTTTTTAATATACCGGTGTTATGATGCACAATCACAGACCCCATAGATTTGGCTGAGTGCCTGAATGTCATGGTAGTAATAAGTGTTATCTGTTCTTCTTAGTGTGAATTCCTGAGCAATGAGGCACAGAGTCCTGGTGTCTTCTCTCCAAGCTCCCTGCGCGTGGCGGCATGTGACTTCCAGCAGTTGATGGCTACCTTCAGCCATGTTTTCGAAACAGACTTGAGAACTTACTGCAGTAGAGATCCCCCCAGCTTCAGCACAGAGACTGTTGTCTTCCAGAGGATACACCAATTACTGCTGGCATTCATGATGGTATTCCCACATATGTCGAAAAATGGTTGCTTACATGCACATGCAAAAATCTGTCTTGACACGAGCCTGACCTGTAGAAAAAATTCATACTGACACCTTTTGCTCTTGCGTGTGTTTTTGCTCAGGAGTTGGAAATGCTAAAGGAAGTATCAGAAGCTTCTGTATCTGTGAATGAGGATGTGAACCAGCTAGAAACACAGCCTTGCTACCAAAGCCGAGGAGAGAGGCGCAAGTTACGTAAGTGAATATTCTCTTTCACATGCACATTCACATGAAGGCTTCATTTGAAACCATCGCAAGTATACTACATTAAGAATTCACAAGTTTATAGAGCCTAATTATTTTACCACTCTTTATTTCTGAAGTGACAGCTGCACATTCTGCATCTCCTGCACTTTAAACTTGATGCAACAGATTTAAACTATACACTCAAGAACTACATTTAGGTCGGACACTCTGCGTCATTGATACGTGTAAATAATTTAGTTTTTGGACAAATCAAAGTGAAATGATTTTCACTGATTAAATATTACGTATCAGAAAAACCAATAGTCTAATAAATAAGCTAATATACCAGCAGTAGAAACCAGATGTCAGCAAATCAAAACTAAGCTTGTATACATAATCTAAAGTGGTAACATTATGGTATGATTTGAGGGAATTAAACTGCATTTCATAAGCAAGTAAACATGATCCCAATTAAAAATGTATTGAACTCTTGTAACCTGTAATTTTACAGGAGACTTCTTTTAGAGCCAGTGTGGGCAGGTGGACCAGAGAACACTACAAAACATGTTCAGTATTTCAGTAAGAGCAACAACAGCCCTGTAAATTAAACAACACAATATTCTTGCTTAGATTTTCTGCATCATTGATATACTGCAGGTTAGGCACTGCCGTAATTGCATGGCTTCGTTTTAGTGGCATTTATATAACGTTACAGCTCAACAATTTGGGTACAGGTCATTTATAACATATTCGCTCAGCTGACAATCTATCGCTCATATATTCACATTCAATATAGTCATGCGACTCAACAGAGCTTTTTAGCTGATTTTGAGCCAAAACTCACAACAATAACTGCTCCCAACCCAGTTAGGTCTGCTGCCTAAATTATGGTGATGATCTAGACACATTAAGAGAGACCTACCTTTCATAGGAAGGAAATCCCTGGCTTTTGACTTAACCTACCTTGCTAACACAATGATCTCGCTTTGTGGTACAACCCTCAGTTGCTCTCCGCCTGTCCATTTTTTATGCACATTTTCAGCTACAGGGCGGCACGGTGGTGTGGTTGTTAGCACTCTCGCCTCACAGCAAGAGGGTTGCCGGTTCAATCCCGGGCGTGGGAGCCCTTCTGTGCGGAGTTTGCATGTTCTCCCCGTGTCAGCGTGGGTTCTCTCCGGGCACTCCGGCTTCTTCCCACAGTCCAAAGACATGCAGATTAGGTTAATTGGTAACTCTAAATTGTCCATAGGTGTGAATGTGAGCGTGAATGGTTGTTTGTCTCTGTGTCAGCCCTGCAATAGCCTGGCGACCTGTCCAGGGTGTACCCTGCCTCTCGCCTGATGTCAGCTGGGATAGGCTTCAGCCCCCCCGCGACCCTCAAGAGGATGAAGCGGTTAGAAAATGAATGAATGAATGAATGAATGAATTTTCAGCTACAGATCAGTGAGTGCATCGCATCTTGCAACCTGCAAAAATGCTCTGTCTGACTGGGCCCTGAAACTGTTCAGTCAGTTTATTTTGCAGGACGCTAAATAAACTGTTCAGTCAGTTGATTTTGCAGGATGCTAGGCAGTCTCTTATTCTGAAAAACGAAAATATAGCTCAGTGTTAGATTTAAGTCATGTATGTTGTGTTGTTTAGTTATTGACCGCTGGCTAAGGTTAACATTAATGTTTTCATGACGTCAAACATTAGCTTCACAGGCTTAACTTAAACGTTCTGGCTTTGTTATGGGTTGTAGGACAAATGTAGTCATACGTTGGTTACAGACCGTTGCCTTGTCACAATTGTGAATTAGAAAAAAAATGTTACAACAGTTTAATTCCTCCTTGTCGACCACTGATGAAGGGGTATCCCTGTCAGCCACAATAGGGCTGCACCTAATGAATCTTTTTTAAATTAGTAAGTCTAACAACCACTCTATTTATTACTCTAAAGATTATTTTCTGAATTCTCACTTTATATAATTTTTAATTTATTCAAGAACAAATATTAAACATTTCTCATTAATATTTGAATATTTTATTCAGTCATCTTCACTTAAAAACAATCATAATAGTCCAATTTCCACATTGCCGCTGCCAGCACAGCTTACTTCACTGTGACTTGTCAATGCACATTCTGTAAAGAATGTCTTTCTGTAATCAGTAACATTGAAGAATTGCCCCAGCCCTTTTCAGAAGTGACTGGTTATTGTGACTGTCCCAGCGCTTTGTATTGTGGGACACGATAGGTGAGCAAGACTGGTCTGATGCATTCTAGAGCAGTGGTTCCCCACTTATGTGTCGTGGTCGAATTTGGTTGATTTTGAATGGACTACAAGTGATGTGACAAATGTGTCAAGTTTGTAAAAAAACAAAAACAAAAAAAACCCACACTTAACTTTGAAGTACAGTGAAATTCAGGCACAGAGTGAGTGAATAACAGACAGCTACTTAACACAGACAGCAAACTAGCTCGACGACATGATGGGCCAAATGCAGTTATGACACTGAATATAATTAATTGTGTGGACCTTAAACTAATGACTAAGGAGAAATCTGGACCCCGTGGCTGGACCAGCTGGGGACCAGCTGGGAACCACTGCTCTAACAATTTTTTTTTTCCAAGTTAGTACATCCTGGTATTTTGGGCATACTGCAGATTTTGCATTTCTTTGCATACTACATGCTATAGTATGGCCAAATCAGTGCATACTACTAGTATACTAGGTGGTTTCGAGTACAGCCATAGAGTTTGTTGCACATTGTTAAATCTTTGTTTCCTGCTTTAATTTATTTATTTATTTTCCAGCTGAGCAATTGGAGGAACTTAGGAGGCGAATTAGAGACTTTTCCGCCCTGCTTCATTCCTGATGGCATCATGCAGTACACATACACTGGCAAAAAATCAAACCATCTGGGTGAATGTTGTGTTAAAATTGTACAGGTCAAACAGAATTGTGACCAAATGTGAGTACATGTATGGTGATGGAAACTGTTGCACAGTCACATTTCAGCAGACCAGCACTCATGTTTCTGTGTGTGTCATAGAGAACTAATGCTGTTAGATGAAATCATACAAACCATGTTTATTATTCTAACTTCAGTATAACTGAGGTGTTGGGGAGGTTTGTGTGAACATTCACATCATAATTGGCAACAACATATTCTTTGTAATTAACATGAATTGCTCTACAGTGTCAAGCAGAGGGGCTTCAGTGAGGTGGGTGTCTGTTTTGTTGGGATAATGGTGATTCTAAATGTTTGTTTTGTCATCCTAACACATTGGATTGTCCTCTGCAGTACTCAAGTGTAAATGTTCATATGGTATTTCTGAATAAATTTAAATGTTTAGATTTATTGCCCTTATTTTCTTTCATGTATGTGATTATCTTGTGAGGCTGTGGCAATCACTTGATTTTGATAAGCGACCAATTGTTGTAGGTATTTTAAGTTAAAATCCAAACATTCAGTGGTTTGTGTTTCACCCATGTGAGCATTTGCTGCATTTTTGCTGTCAGTTGTCATTTGAAATGGAATATCTTATGGATTGCTAAAAAAAAAAGCTATTTAATGACATCGTCTTGCCTTCACAGTAAAGCCAACCATCTCAGATGGAGACAAAAACTCAACTACTAGCAGAGGGCAGTTCACTGTTAAATATAAAGGGATCACGTTGTGGAATGAACATCATAATCTTGCAGACACCACTGCCTCCTCGTCTATATTTAAAAAGAGATTATTGATCAAAGTATTTAAACACTTTGTTTAACAGTTTACTAGGACTAGTCAATCGTGGTACAATTATCTTGTTTAAATTATTTTGTTTGATTTTTATTTTTCATTCTTCTTTCCCATTTTTTTTCCCTTCTCTAACCTTATTTTATTTATTATTTATTTTCTTGTTACCTGATAAGATGTACATTATTCATTTTCCTTGACTAAACAAGGTCAAGGTGGGGTCAATTTTTAAGCCCTCCCAAGGTTTCCACCCTCACCTGCACATTACCTACCCACTCTCTATATAGAGTGATTTGTACCAAATCTATAATTTGTCACTTTTAAATGTGCAAATAAACAATTTTTTAAAAAAGGACTGTAAGCTGTTATAGGGTTTGATGGCACAATCTCAACAGCTTTCCACAAACAGTGAAACAAAGCTGGTGTGTTATGCATACCACAACGCCCTTGCCTGCTTCTCTGACTGACTCAACAATGTATAAATACACAACAACAGGAAGTGGCTATGCTTTTATATTTAATGTTTCATTCATAACATACACGTATGTACACTGTTAAACAGCTGATGATCTCACAACTTAAATATTTCTCTGGTGTCTTAAGAAAGTTCAATAAAGTGGCAGTCAAAAACTGTCCTTCCATATGGATTTAAAGCACTGAAGGACAATGTTTAAGGTGTTGAGATGTCAGCTGATCCCAGTAAGGTCCCAGCTGTCCTCTCCATCTCCACATGGACAGCTCTGTGCCCCCTGCGCATGTTGTTGTGACAGTCCTGGAAGCTCAGCACTGCTTCATCACTGCAGTCAGAAGCCTTTGCTGAGCAACCATTGTTTCAGCTCATTGTCCACATGACCTTTGACCGTCAGGGTCATGGTGACCTCATTGACCTGTGTGGGCAGCTCTTTGCCCGTCACCTCCTTCAGGTATTGTTTCACGTCCTTCTCCAGAGCCCAGATGTCCCCTTCCACTTTCCGTACGAGCGTTGTCTTACGGCTGCCGTGGGTCACGTCGGTGTAAACTGGGATGTTGTGCATGCGGGAGCGGCGGATCATGTAGGGCAGAGGCGGCGGTGAATCTGCAGGAGGGGTCCAGCCGGACGGAGTGGGACCGGCATGTTTAGGCGGAGCCGGGACTCGTGACGGTGGGATGAGCCGCTCTACGAACTTGTATTCCTCCGTAGATTCATTTATCAACCTCTTTGGTTTGTCTGGAGCAGCGTTACAGACAAACCTAAGCCCGACAGCCGCGGCAGGAGGTCCCGGTGAGCGGATGTGTAGGCTGATGGCTCCTCGCAGCGCACTGCGGAGCACGGTGGACTGTAGGAACATGCAGGCCGCCATCATCTTTATCTTCTTCCTGTTCTTTTTCTTCTTCGTGTGATTAATGGCGGTTGGCAGGCAACTTATAGGTGCATTCCGCCACCTTCTGTACGGGAGTGTGTATCTGAATCACATAAGTAAACCCATTGTTATGTTAGATTTTCCTGCTTAATCCTGTTTTGTCCAAAAAAAAACTAAAAATGGCTCTGTACCCTACGGGAGCGTATTACATTCACTTGACAAATTAAAAAAAAAGCTGTTTGATTGAGTATTTTTTCTGTTTTTCGGAGTAATTTTTTTGTTTTTCTGTTTTTCATGGTAATTTTTTTCCCTGTTTTTCGTGGTAATTTTTTTTCTGTTTTTCGGGGTAATTCTTTCTGTTTTTCTGAGTATTTTTTTTCTGAGTTAAGAGAGCAATAGAACAACAGACACTTTCATTCCTTTCTTGAGAGCTTGATATAATGGAAGCAAACATGACCCGCTTGTTTAGTTTAATCCAGTTTTACTTTGTTTTGGGTTTGAGACACTGGGAGATACTCTTGTCTTTAAGTCATATAGATGGTGTTATCATTAGTTTGTCGACTTTACGCAGGCACCTTAAGACTTTGCAGTTGTTCAGACGAAAAGCCCATTCAGATCTGGACATGGCAGTGTTTCTCCAGAATCAGTAGGACACATATGGCAAGCTCCGTGTATCTTAACTCAGAAAAACAGAAAAAATACCCTGAAAAACGGAAAAAAAATTACCCTGAAAAACAGAAAAGAGATCACCCTGAAAAACAGAAAAAAAATTACCACGAAAAACAGAAAAAAATACTATGAAAAACAGAAAAAAATTACTCAATAAAACAGATTTTTTTTTAAATTTGTCAAGTGAATGCAATACGCTTCCGTAGTACCCTACATCCCCAGAATTTCTTTGTGAAATTTCTTTGATATTTAATGTAATTCCATTTCTTTCTAGTGCCCTAATGAGTACTTGTCTTTCTTGATGGTATTATGGACACTAACATTACATGTTCCACTGTTTCTTGTGAGTTGCAATAATTACACTTTCCTGTAGCATGTTTGTTGACTATTCTCAATGTACCATTTAGGCCACAGTGACCAAACCTGATCCTAGATATGATCTCCTCCTCTTTCTTACTCTTGTTCTCTTTTATCATTTCTCCCACTTGTCTCTGAATGTTATAATAATATCTGCCTTTACTTTCTATATCCCACATTTCCTGCCATTTCTTTTTCAACTCTGCTTTAATGATGTTCTTTATTTCAGCTTTGCTATACGTTATACTCATACAAACTGTACCCCTCTTTGTTGCTCCTTTAACATACTTGTCAGGCAGTTCATTCCCTTCCACCCCAATATGTGCAGGAACCCAAAAAAGTGCAATATCCACCCCAGCTTTTCTGATTCTGTGTACTGAATGAACAATGTCTAATACTATATCCTGTCTTGTTTCTGACTGCATGTTATGAATACTTGTTATTGCACTACCGGAATCAGAGCATATCACCACTCTGTTTGGTTTCACCACCTCAGTCCAGTTCAGAGTGAGCAGAATATCTGATAATTCACCTGTATATACAGATATATTGTCAGTAACTCTTTTACATGAAACAAAATTTTTATCTGGTATGACAAAAGCTATTCCCACCCTGCCACTCTGCCTTAGATCATCTGTGTATATCTCCATATGGACTGAATAATTTCTTTTTATGTATTTACCAACAACATTTATGTCTATCCTCCCCTTTCCTTTATTCAACAGATTACAATCAACTCTTGTATTCTCTATAGTCCATGGTAGTGTGACAGAGAGTGGCACAGTGGGACTCAGCACCTTATCAGCTATGCCAATATCTGCAACCTTTGCCTGTATAGCCCAGCTGAAACTCCTGATTTTTTGATTTTCTAGTTCTCGACAGAGTTCTAGCAGCTCTTGATTTGGATGACTTCCATCATGTCCCCTCAAATTAGCCCAGTATGATAAACTATCTGGAGACGTCTTATCTCCATCGGCATTTCCCCCATCTCTACCTGCAAAGATGGTGTTGGAGTTGTCTTCATGGCCCCACAGCACAGCCTTAATGCGTGGATGTTGGATAACATCCAATTTAGATAGTAGTGTCTTTGAGGCAGAATTACAGTATATATGATGCACTCATAGTCTATCACGGCTCTAACCAGACTGATATACACAGTTTTTAATGCTGTTCTGCTAGCTCCCCACTCTCTACCTCTCAAGCATCTCATGATGTTCACTACCTTTTTGAATTTCTCCACCATCTTCTCAATGTGCACATTCCATGTAAGATTTTTATCAAAATAGACTCCCAAGTACTTAAAGCAGTCTACTCTCTCCAGGTCCTCACCATAGAGTTTTAACTTGATGTCATTTTCAACTTTCTTTTTAGTGAAAAATACTGCTTTTGTCTTTGATACTGAAAATCTGAAACCCCATTCCAATGCCCATGCTTCTACTTGTTCTATTGCCTGCTGTAACTTCCTAATAATGTACTTAATATTTCTGCCCCTCTTCCACATAACCCCGTCATCTGCAAACAGCGACACTCCTACTCTGATGTTGTATCTACATTATTAAACACTTCGTTAATCATGATTGAAAATAATATTGGGCTGACAATTCTCCCCTGTGGTGTACCGTTCTCTGCTAAATATTCATTGCTGAACTCCTTCCCTATTCTTACAGATATTTTCCTGTCAGTAAAAAATTCTAATCCACTTGATCATTTTGCCTCTTATCCCAATTTTATACAGTTTAATTAAGAGACCGTCTTTCCACATCATGTCATATGCTTTCTCTACATCAAAGAATACAGCTACCACACTTTCTTTGTTAGTCTGAGCCTTCCTAATTTCATGTTCTAACCTGAGGGCAGGATCTATAGTACTTCTTCCTTTTCTGAAACCACTCTGGTAACATCTTATTTCTCCTCTGGTTTCCAGATAATAAATTAATCTATCATTTATCATTTTCTCCATAAGTTTACCCAAACGCGACGTCAGGGCTATGGGCCTGTAACTCTCTACCAGGCTAGGATCTTTCCCTATTTTGCAAATGGGAGCAATAGTAGATGCCTTCCACTGCCTGGGCAAAGTCCCTTCTTCCCACACCTTATTATACAATTTTAACAACATATTCTTACTCTTCTTACTCTCACTTAAATTATCCAACATAGCATAACAAATTTGATCTTTCCCTGGCATTGTCCTTCCACATTTCTTTAACATCTTATTTAACTCTCTCAATGAAAATGCCATATTCATTGTATTGT